GAAAGCCTATGCAGGGTTCCATTGGTTGGGCCCGGGACGGAACAGACCCGGCGAGCGCAATTGGGAAGGGCAACAGAGTGACTGCTATCATTTCACGCTTCTGCAAGCCTGCCCGTGCAAGAGAACTGCTCGGCGTGGTTACTTACTGCGTTTGAAAGAATAGCTGCAGCAGCTAAAATGGCTCCAGAGCGCACGCTGCAAACAAAAGGGCGGGCGATGGAGTCGCACTTCGCGAAAGTGATTTGGCTTTTTCTGGCGAAGATTGCGTTTTCCGGAACCAGTCATATTGATCAACTGCCAAGTAGTAAAAGATGTACCCCATTCGACTCATTCATGCATGTAGTAGCCATGGTCATCCAGCCGTCAGATTTCCGAGTTTGTCAACCTGGCAAGGGTTCGAGCATAGGGTACTGCGGCCGTGCGCCGAAAAGCCAAGCTGTCGGAGAGCCTCGCGGTCCTTGCCCAGGCAGACTTGCTTCGCCTTCGCATTGCGGCCTCAGAAGTCAAGGCTGCTGAGTTTGACTCTTGATCCATGCCCCAGTGTGACCCGCTTAGCTCTGGCTCACCCCAACCATCCAGCTTGTCACAGCGCGGGGTTTCATTCTTTGATTCTAGTTTGGAGGCCCCGCCAGACGATCGCGGACACACTGCAGGCACGCCGGGTCTCTCGTGGACCTGCCGGAGAAATGGGAGGGTGTCAAATCTTTGAACCCTTTCAGCCGCAAATGACATGGCCAGATCTCAAAATCATCCCTTCCAAGTTTGGACTGGAAAGCACCCGAGTTTGCAAACGCACCTGCCATTTGAGGCGTGCCCACATCAGAATCGAGGTTCCCTAGCACGTAGGTTAAGCCAGGCTTGATTTAACAGAACATGAATTGAGAGCCACTTGAGAAGACAGGGATCCATTGCGGTACGTCTAAGGGCCCTCACAAGTCTTAGCCTAGATGACTCAGGCCACGAGCAAAGGGGACATCGCTGGGGCTCGGCGCAGGCCAACAGGTGCTGGCGTTGCTCAAAGGGCGGCAGCCTCAGCTGGCCACTGGATCATTTTCAGTCGGTCTGGGAGGCTGTTTATTGTTTGGTTTTCATGTGCTTGAGCAGGAAAGCATCGGCTGCCGCACGGGGTGCAGTTTTGTGTGCGGGTGAAAGCAGCACAACACCCCGCGTTTAGGTTTCCTGCATTTGGTGGGGATGTGTATAGGGTAGTAGATGGGACTTGTTTCTAGGCCTTGGAAAGGTTGCCACTCAAGATGGTCATTGAAACTCACACCTTGCAGGCCTTCATGTCGACAGCATGCAGTCACGCAATGAGCACAGCATAATTGTTCAGTGCATGACACCTATACCAGAAGCATTCCATTCAGAGTTGCAAGTGACGGAGGACTGGATTTCGCTGCGATATTGAGGCAGAATGCACCATTGCCTTCGTCTCCCGACAAGGACGGAGAGAGAATCGATGGACTTGTGGATTTGTACTTTCTAGAAAGACAAGTCATGCTCATTAGCGCTGATCATGCGACATGGCTGCCTTATGAACCAGCTATACTGGATGGAGCACGCAGAGCATGCAAAGTTCACCGCGAGGTGATGGTGCTGGTACTGGTGCTGGTGCTGGTGCTTGTGGTGGTGGTGGTGGTGGTTTAGCAAAGAGCGCAATCATGCCACAGGATTTGTTGCAAGGCTTGCCGGCGTGCAAGATTGTCCGCACTTTGGCTGCATAGCTCATGTTTAAGTGCAAGCAATCTGATGCTTTGCCATTTGCAAATTGTGGCAGAGAAGGAGCTGTAAGCAGGTGTTGCAACCTAGCTTGATATGTGTCGGATCAGGGGGACACCAAAAATGATAATTTTCCTTTTGGTTTCTGTTTAAACCGGTGAAAAGGGGTACCCTCAGAAGAACACGCCCAAACCAGAAGAGAGAATTGATTCAGCGACTCTTTGGAGTGATCGCCGCAATAAGCACTTTTGTTCCACGTTGATTGTCTGCGACGCGACTAATTTTGCTTTCATTTGTTGTTAATGTGCATTGCTTCGATTCTGCTGCATTTCGATGGCGATATCACTTCCCACTTCATGCCGGGGCCATTCGATGCACAAGCAGATGTGTGAGCAGACAAAACAGACATTGAGGTGTCGTCCGCTTGCCATACAGTTGGGGCAAAGATGCCCAGTTCAGAGTCGCACCCAAGTCTTTGGGTGTGGCCAGCTGTGTTGCTCCGAATGCAATAGTCAGGTCCAGCTCGTCGAAAGATGCCGGACATTGAGGGCAAGTAATTTGTTTCTCATATGTCGCACCCAAAAATCACGAAGGTGATATGTTCTTCTTGGCGGAGGGGGAGACCCAGGACCGACCGCCGCAGTGCTGGCTTGTGTGTCAAGATGCAAGGCAAATCGGGGACCGAGGCTTCGCTGAGAGCAACTTGGGATTGACGCTAGCCTTTGATCAGAAGCCGCTTGATACCTCTCAGCCTCTCGGAGGGGCATGGACATAGCATCAGTGGCTTTGCGCTGTGAACTTGGTAGGCATTCTGAAGTTCTGTTGGCAATCGTTGCAGGATGTCCAGGATTCGTGCGGGTGCCCAGCTGTTCAAGGCTTAGAGCCTGCTTGGAGGGGGGGTCACTTAAATTTCACAGCGGGTCTTTCTTTTGCGCAGAGGCCTGGTTTGCAGGGGCACATAAACTAATTGCCTCGATTCTTTGGCTGACAACGAAGCGGCCCGCCTCGACTTGCTTGGTCCGGGGCTTCCTTTCAGGCCGTGTGTGTTGCCAACTCCCCTGTTTATTCAACGAGCAGCAAGTCATCACGTAGCCAGAAGTGTCCAGAAGCTCATGTTTAGGAGGCATTCTTTGCAGAGGCAGGGCAAAGGATGAAGACGCATGTTTGACTGGCTCATAGGTCCAAATTACCGTGTTCCAGCTTTGACTTCATTCAGTAGACCTTCACGAGGCTGCTTCCTGCATACCTGCTTGTAATGTTTGTCTCATCGAATTGGTAGCCGTCGGCAAATTCATGCCTTGGAGAGAGACCCGGGCTTGAATCGTTTTTGCCACTCGATTCAATGTCTCAGGTACACCGAGGAGGCAGGAGCACATGCTGAAGCCGATGAAGCTGTGACTTTTTAGCAGGGAAAGACACTCTGTCAGCGCAGTGCTGGAGTTTGTGCAGCTCAATGATGAAACATGTGTTTCTTTTGTGCGCGAGCCAAGAAGAGTCGCCGGATTTGGCTGGGGTCTGTCATGGTCCCTCCTACTGAAAACCAAACCAGAGTTGGAAGTTGGCAGGCCCAGCCGCAAGTCTCACGTACCAAGCATCCGTGAACCTCAAACAGGGCGAGACAGTTCCAATCCCTCCGACAGGTAAGAGGTCTTCTTGCCTTCACTAGATCTGATATGGCTGAAATGAAGTGTGAAAACAACCTGAAAAAAGATGGGATGCAAGCAAAAAAGCTTGCTGTGATCCTTGCTATGTATCCGCTTACATGTAATTATCATTGGGTGAACTCGGGCCGAAAGATGGGAAGCAGCGACAACTGGCAAGGGCCGCGACACAAAAGCCGGTTCTGGAACACAAATAACAAATACATCATAGACGATGGCGATTTTGTGACCTCAGGATTTGTTGGGTTGTGTTCTATGTTGAGTGCGCCCTTTGACAAGGCTTCAGCAATCAAGGTACCCTTATTAAACAAAGCAGGATTTGCCTAGGTGAAAATCCATTTGTTCGAGCGAAAACTACTTAGCCCATGAGTTGCTACTAATAGGACGACGTAGCAAATTATTTGTCAACTTCCATGTATTATCGTCCGCCTCGTTCTTGTTTGTGTCAAGCCAGCCCAGACAACGGTGTCAGCCATTTGCAAAATGGTCGGCTTCAGAAAGTACAGAGAGCTGCTGCCTGGACAGTTGCAGACGTTGCTTTTGGCAGGTGTAACAGCTCCGCTCTCGACGCATGCAGTGAGCCAATGGGCTGGCAAATGATTGGCTAACATGTCGCATGTGGTGGATGTCCGTGGCAGTCAGTCTTGACTGCATGACATGTTGCGAAGCTTGTACAGCCTCAATCGATTTTGCCAAGTGATAGAGCAATCATGTCACACGTAGTGATCTGCTGCAGAAAACGGAGCAGCTCTGTTGTGCGTGTGTGTTTGTTTAGCCAGTCTTGACATGGCACGTAGGTTGCATCAGCCCGCCACGGAGCTAACTCCCCTGCAGAAAAGCGAACGGCAGAACTATGTCTGATATTTTGTGAGGGCACTTAGCTCTGGCGGTTCCTCTTAATTTGCTTCCGATTGGGACATTTGTCTCATCTCTCCTCGTGAGTGAAGCTTTGTCTAGCCCACTCCAGCAAAGCTGGAATGGTTGGTATTGTGTGGAAGGCGGATCTGCGAATGCTGTGTCTGGATGCGGTTGTCCTGACAGAGCAGAGGATTCAAAGCTGCATGCTGCCAGCACGAGGCTTATTCACAAGGTTCTGCCGGCAGGCACCTTGCTTGCCTAAGCTGAGCGATTTGCTCTGCTGGGGACTGAAGGTTGTGTGGTTTCACTGAGGCAATTTCATTTGTTTGGGCTTCCTGTGAAGATCGGCAACATGTTTGCAAGTTGAGGCATGTCAATACGAGGAACAGGCATGGATTGCGAGGGTCAGTGCTTACTGCACTTTGCAAGGGAGGCAGCCAAGCAACACCAGCTGATGCTCAGACCTTTGCCCACTGGCATCTGCTTCAGTTGAGCTGTGGTTGACCCCTGCTCTGGCTCGCTTGGCTCTTTTGACAGTCTCACAGCTTTCAGCGATTCTGCAAACAAGTAGTGGGCAAAGGCTGTTAGGGAATGTGCAACATGCATGGCAGCACCCTGATTGATTTGTTTGCTCTTAGGTTGCTAGGAACTAGACTATTTGAGCTGAGCTCGAATCGACTGAGCACTAAAGTTTTCAGTGCAGCCCCGCAGTCCACCACAGAGCTACTCCTCAACATGGCACTTGCTACCTTCAACCAGGTCCTGGCTCTTGGCATTGCCAGTTCGCGATTGCTGCTGTCCCAAAGGGACAACAGCCTTTGGCCATGGAATGACAGCCTGGACTGGGAGCTATGTTTTTGCGAACCTGGGAGTGGATTCCTTGGCAACGACATGGAAAGGTGCCTTGGTTTGTCTCATTTGCAACGCACCCGTTGCGGTGTTTCAGCCCGCCAGACTCCGCGGCACACAGAACACTCGATGGCCAGTTGCCGCTGGAAAGATGGGTGTGGCTTTTCTTGGAGGGCCGAGGGAAATTTCAGGCGCCCTTCACAAATCAGCGGCGAGCTGAGGCTCCCGCAATGGGAGTCGCGAGTACCACGAGCTGTCGGTGCTCCCTGAAGCACCGAGCTCGAGCCAGGCACGGAGCCCCCGAAGAGCACCCGATTTTTGTTTATGGGACCTGATTAATTTTACTTCGGGACGGTCTGCCAGTCCCATCTCTTAGATTCCAGGCTGCAAGACCTTGTAAATTGCGGGTGATGGAGCTGGTCATGCAAATTTGACCATGGTCAGTGCAAGGCTGCGACATCACAAAGCCACTCGAGCGAAAGCTTGTTTGTCCAGAACTCCCTCCTTCTAGACCTTGCAGGAGGCTCCTAGACTTTGGAGGGGGGATCTGTGTGTTCAACGCGTACAAATGGGTTTATGATCCCTTTCACCCTCCGGCTTTGACCGCTTCTTAGAATTGGCATTCAACAACGGGAATAGTGCTTGATGTTTTTGCTAGTCCTCCGCAACATACCAAACAAATCTGTTCCATGGTCGAGATCTCTCCCGCCTTTTTTGCATTTAATAGCTGCGCTTATGATAATAACTCTTCCGTTTGTAGAGCTATGGGTTGGCTAAGGGCAGAAGAGTGCAGCATATACTTGTTTCCAGGGCAAAGGATGCATGTTTAACAACCACACAGCAGTGGTTTTGATCTTGATTCCACTCACACGTGCTTTGTTTTATGCCTGTTTCGGGAAAGATCTGTTGTCCGACTCAACCATCCGTAGCTGTGTTTGCAGACATCCCGACTTTGTCTTTTGGATGTTTGCTATCTGCAGGTTTCTCAAACTACAGGATCCCTTTGTGACTCATGCATCCCTGTCCAGATGAGTTTCAAGGGAAACCTACAGCAAGAATGCCATTTCGAGGCTCCCCATTTCATACTAACTGGCTACGGTCAGATGTTCTGGAAGCTGTCCCTGTTTTGCTGTCCCCGCTTACCCTGGTCCGGCTTTTGCTGCGCTTTGCTCGCTCCGGTGATTGTCCTTCCTTCATTGTTTGTGTGAGCGTCAACAAGTAGCAAGGTGTCCCTCGCCTGGTCCTTTTTTCTCGGGCACCGCCAAGCCCAGGCCCTGCTCAAGGGAAGAGGCTTTGAGCGGCAAACTTCCAGGAACAGCGCCCCTGGCCGCCTGGCATCTCGTTTCGGATTTGTCTGGAAATCAGCTCGGAAGCTAGAAACCTTGATGCGTTGGAGGGGAACCGCTGAGGCAACATGATGCAGGCAGCTATTTTGAATGGGTCATGAAGCTAGATACCGTTGAAGGGCACATGGGAAAGTCATGTTCGGAAGCCTTGCTGTCAGCTTCTACTGAACGTGGCAAGTTTTTGCCTGCAACGTATTGATCCCGCACACAGAGAATCCTAACAACATGGCAAAGCATAAACACGAAGCAATTTGCGACATTCTGCAACTCAGCTTCAGCTTGTTGCACTTGACCAAGTTTGCGACATATAGAGAGTGGCGTTCGCGTTGCCTTTATGATTGCCTTTGTCGTTGTCGTTGTCGTTGTTGCTGCTGTTGTTGTTATTTTTATTATTATTCTTATTGTTCTTGTTGTTCTTGTTGTTATTGCTGTTCTTCTGGTTCTTCTTGTTTTCGTTCTTCTTGTTCTTCTTCCTGTTCTTGTTCGGGGTTTTGTCGTCACAAGCTTCAGATAGGAAGGCGATGCGCGTTCCGTTGAAAGGCAATGACAAACGGAGAAGTCACAGTTTTTCGGCCATGGAGCCGATAGGTCGCTAGTGCCTGATGGACGCCTTAGGTGAGGGGGAGCTCCTGCAAGTCTTCAACTGGCTGCGGTCCTCTTGGAAGGCTTCGCTTGAATTGAACCCCGTCGGGCATCTCTTGCCTTAGGAGAAATGGCCGGCCTTTGGCTGTCCTTCCAGCTTTTGACACTTGTATATGCTGAACCATGTTGAACATCTGAAGAACGACGTTTCCGGCACGGTGTTTTGATATACGAGATCAAGACTTGGCGAGCAGCTTGAGGAAAGCGGCTGCCAAGTGGCCTGCCTTCTGTGTTTGTGTGGGTGTTTGAACATTACCATCCTGACTGATGACACCCCCCCCGTTTGGCGGGCTCAAGCCTGCCTGTTGCGGTCGTTTAGGCGTTTGCATGGATCCTTTGCTGCTCTCCTGATTTCCCGACCCGATTGGCCGTTCCACGGTCTAGAACCCTCGGGAGGCAATGCTCACAACCTTCGTGGCGCTGGCGGTGGCTTTGGTCATTCACTTTTCGATGCCCTTTGTGCATCCCAGCAGGCGCGGCCCATTCCGGCACGGTGCATTCTGGCACGGCTGGATGTAGTGCTCAAGTTGTGTTCTTCATCAAACAACGATTCTGACGTGGCTAATGCAAAGTGACACGTAATTGCCAACGATCTCGACTTTCAAACATTCAGTTCAGCACAGGGCAGACGTTGTTCGAAGGAATAGTGATGGTTGCACTGGCCCTCAAGCCAAATACAACAATCAATGTGTTTCAATAAGGACAACCGGCGTCTATGCGTCGATGCAAGCATGTTGGCGCTAAATCGGATCGACTCTGTTCAAGATCCAATTGGCCTTTATCATGGTTGGTCTGAAAAAACACAGACGTGTTGAACAATAGCCTCTCCATAGTCGATGAAGACAACAGTGTGAACATTTGCAGCGCACGAGCCTTTGCTGGGATGATGGGTTTTGAGCAATGTGTTGTTGTCGTCGTCAACGTCGTCGTTGTTGTTGCTCTTGTTATTGTCCTTGCTGTTGCTGTTGCTGATGATGATGACGATGATGTTGTGGCTGTTGTTGTTGTTGTTGTTGTTGTTGTTGTTGTTGTTGTTGTTGTTGTTGTTGTTGTTGTTGTTGTTGTTGTTGTTGTTGTTGTTGTTGTTGTTGGTGGTGGTGGTGGTGGTGGTGGGTGCTGGTGCTGGTGCTGGTGCTGGTGCTGGTGCTGGTGCTGGTGCTGGTGCTGGTGCTGGTGCTGGTGCTGGTGCTGGTGCTGGTGCTGGTGCTGGTGCTGGTGCTGGTGCTGGTGCTGGTGCTGGTGCTGGTGCTGGTGCTGGTGCTGGTGCTGGTGCTGGTGCTGGTGGTGGTGGTGGTGGTGGTGGTGATGGTGGTTTCTAAAGCAGCGCATTGTTTCAGCCAGTTCGAGACGTGAGGAACCTGTTTGAAGATTGGCCACTGTACTTCCAAAGACTCCGCCCCCGTGTCCCCGTGTCATGGCGGGCCAATGCAGTTCAAGGAGCCGACACTTTGCCAGGTACGTCATCATGGGCACCACGGTGGTGGACTATCCTCAGGCCTTCGAGGTGCCTAGCGAGTACAACCCAGACTGCGATACCAGGCACAGTGCCTGCTTGCCTCGATTGCCTTGGCGAGTGATTTGCAGGCCTTTTTGTTTGTCAGGTCCTCGGACTTCAGGATGGGCAATCGCGCATTTCTGGAGGAGCTCGAGGCCAGAGTTTTGCCTTGTCGATTGTCATGTTTCCTAGCCGTGGCGGATCGTGGCGGAAGCAGTAAATCAGTCACCAGCTTGAAGACCTCCACTTCTACCAAAGGCTCAGGCGCTGCCGATCACCACTTTTGGCCACATGTTCAGCGTGAAACTCCCAACATACCACCACCCAACTTTGGGATGTCCTATACATGTCATGTCAGTTATTCTGTCAAGAAACTCACATCATAGTGAATCAGGTTCAATGAAGTAAGGTTCGCAGTACGCAGAATGTGAAGCCAATAGTTTGAACCTGCCCGTCCTTTGACTGGCTGTGGGACGCATGCCTGCCTCTTTCTTGTTCCCGGAAGTCTTTGTTATTTTCTACAGGTGCAACTGCTCCTGTTCCTGGTTGGAATTTGTAGTGGTCGTGTCTCTTTGAGGCACAGAGGTAGTTAGGAATTGAGTCATGTCTGAGTCATGTCGTAGGCAAGCACAGAGACGATTCGCCTTCGCCGCTGTTCGACTGCCACGGAAAAAAAATCAAGCACGTCCGGTTATTGCGTTTGAGGACACCTTTGGCAGCTATTATCATAGTATCAAGCTATCCTTTCGGGGTTGGTCCGGGGAGGTGGAACCTGGATTGCATTTGCCAGGGCTTCAGCTTTGTCTTCTTTTCCGTGGCGAGCATAGCGGCTTGGCGCAGTGAGGTGACATCCAAGGCAGCAATGCGGCACTCCATTTTGACGGGGTGAGCCCGTTGTGAACAGCTAGAATCGCGGCGTGTTGCGTCATTGTTTGTTACAAAGGATTGTCATTGTGCAAGTGGCTTTTGTGGTCTGTGGCTTTCGCGCCTTGTGCCAATCCAACCCTCAACACGCCCTATCCCCTAGCCCAAGCGCACACGGATCAGACTTTCAATTCATACGTGAATCTATCCCAAATTAGCCCTGAAACATCTTAAAGCATACCCCATTCAACCCCAAGCCAAAAAGGCCAAATACATGTACGGTACATATAGAAGCACATCAGTTTGGCTTGGCAGGGGGTGATTGGGTGCTCAGGGTGCGTTGCCCCAGATTGCATGGCTGTGATGGTACAGTGTTGTCTATTCTAGGTACACGAAAAGGGGAACAGTTGCCATAGAGTGATTTTAGCCTAAAAAGGGGGACCTGGAAAAGGGTTCCTTCTTGTGGAAAGTTCTCACGGAGCTTCACCAAATGATGGGTGACAAAGAGCCGATGCTGACCAAATGGCGAAGGTGAATATGGCCACGGAGATTATCAAGACGGCTTCAGCTGTGCTGATGCCTCCTGTGAAGCCCATACCAGGCGGGGGAAGCCTCGAAGCATGCGCTTGTGCTTGTGCTTCTCTTGAGATCCATGCTGTGCTCAGATGCCGATCAGTTTATCCCGGACGTCAACCAGCCCAATTGCGTTGCCTTGCGACGCTGCCCCGGCAACCGCTTTGTCACGCTCTTTGGCACATGTGATGATCAGTGGGCGGGAGAGAACAGCCAGTCTAATCATGTCTCGTGGAAGCCAAAATGTTGGACTCGTTGTGATAAGCCGCGGGATTTGCGTCCCACAGCGCAGCGGTATAGCAGTTCAATGCCAGGCAGCACGGACTCAAGTTTGGTTAAGTGTCGAACACTTGCAACATCCGCCCACGACATTTTTTGCTGCGCAGGTAGCAGGCCTTGATCCACCTGGCCACAAGCTAATTCTGCCTAGTCTAGCATGACAGACACCTTTCGCCTTGCATTGTTGTTGGACGTGCTTCAGCCTCATAGCGCGCCATAAGGAGGAATCCTCGCTGAGAGCCCATCCGTATTTTTTGGGAATGTGTGTGGCCGGATATGTTAGGAGAAACTGCAACGCTTTGTTGCGCGGTGTGCATCCACCAAGCGCAATTCGGGATTAGCCGTGCAATTCTGCATTCTCGGTGCAGGGAGACATTTGCTGCACCCTTGCCTTGTGGTGCACACCCCTCTCCAGCAGTCAGTGGCTTCCCAAACCCAATTTGAGAGGGGATCAGGGAGTGAGATGTTGCGGCAGCTAGTTTCTCTTCTTTTTGTTGTTTGTGTCAAGCCTACTGGTTAGTCATGAACTCCAAGTATGTCCCTGCGCTCAGCTGCACTGACCAGGCTGGGCAGCTTGGTGCCAGGGCCGCAGGAGCTGTGGCGATCCGGACCCTTTGCAAAGAAGTTTCAGCCTATGGCAAAGCTGCTCGGCCTGGGAAGTCACGTTCGACGCCTGCATGCGCATGAAGAAGAAGCATGGACAACTAATAGTTCTGCTACCATTGAAAGACATTGAGAAGATTTAAACACGGTCGACGGAGAGACTTGCCCGCCTGTGCAGATGAGGTGTGTTGCTGGATGGGCGTTACAGAAGGGGCTCACGTCTTGAATCAATTGCTTGCAGGTTCGATAGGCAGGCAATGACAAATGAAATGACCCCCATAAGCTATGCCCTATGGTTTCCTTTGTCTAAGGGAATCCCCAAAACCGCGTGATTCCCAATACCCGGACTCGGAAATTCATTCCCTACCCAGAGTTCCACTTTTTGACTACCCCCACAATGACTTCACCCCAAAAGGGAACCCCTGGGTTTTAGTCTGTTTGGTCAAACAAATAGAAGCCTGTCCATAACCATCGCACCAAGTCGACCTTCCGCTCGCTTCGATCTGAGGAGCTTGATCTCTCTGGTGCAGGGCGAGCTGCAGGGCCAGCGCCCGGAAGGGCCACCTGAACCAAATGGGAGGTCCATGCGGGCGATGGCATCCGTGCTTCCATGGGTAGTAGGTGGCGATGTTGGCAGAAACTTCATGATTTGGGCAAGGGGTGAGTTCTCCATAGGGAAAGCATTAGTGCAACAATGGATTCCCATGTGCCAAGGACAGAAGCCGGTGGGACATAGTGGGCATCCCATGTTTGGTAATTATTCCCTGCGCATGGCGATGCTCAGCCACACAGCATGCTAGAGATCGCCAACTGAGATTATAGCAGTCTTGAATGTCGGCCTCAGCGCAGCTATGAAACAGATCCAGCTGCGGTTTTTGCAAAGGACTGTTGTCAGGCTTATTCCTTTCCCACATTGCTTAAATTCGTATATTTTTACATGCTAAGTTTGTTCTATCATTGACTTGCCGTTCACGGGGTGCCTGAGTACTGCCCAGGGCGGAGTTCTGCCCGTCACAGTCCGTCAACGTGCTCATGGAGGCAGTCAACCACTTCAAGCTTTGGCAAAGTCCAAAAAATATGTTTCCGTCTCTGTCTCTGTTTTGCGATGCTTAGTTGTGTTTCATGTTTTCCTGAACTCCATTTCCAGCAGTCGTTTGTCAAACACTGAACCTTCAGCGTGCCATGCTCATCATGGCCTTGAGCCGTTTTGAGCCCTAAGCACTGGTTGGCAGACGTGGAGCTGACCATTCACGTGGCAGCGTTTGAGAGCCCGGCAGGCGCCACACGGGCTGAAGATCGCTGGCATCAGCGGGATGACAATTTTTATGCCTTGGACGATGCAGACTGCATGTTGCCTGGAGCGCATCAAGGGTGGGAACAGTCGGATGTTATCGGCAAAGCCCTTGTGTGCGCCATTCGTCCGTGTTGGTCTCTTCTCATCCAAGTCGCATGAAGGGACTGTCCAACTGCCTGAGTAATTAGACGAAGCAGACCAAAGTGATATAGCTCAACGCATGTCAACCAAGATTTGCAACTAGCTCGCAGGGACGCAGTTGTGCACGATGAGCAGCAGGCGATCGTTGCATTTAGTAGCGTTATGTAGCATTGTTTTGCGCGCTGATGCGTGACCGCTGGTGTGTCTTCAAAAAAACCTGCATGCGCCTTGAGTGAGCTGCAATATGCTGCAATTTGTTCGTAGTGCTAGAAGCCTAAATGACGACGTAAATTACAATTTAAATTATCCTGCTTTGACCTGATTGACATTTATTGAAGTCAAGAAGTCGAGCATGATGTGACAGATGAGTTGGCTAGTGTCCATCATTCGAATGGGCTCAAACAATTGCCATGCGGCTAGAAGCACACACAGACACATGCATGCTGCATGACCGCATGCAAAGCATAGTCAGGCTTGTTGCTGCCGGAGACTACTTCCGGGAGTTTCGTAGTTGGCGGTTACGCTAGCAGAATCCATATAAAGAGTGACAATCACAGAAACCAGAATGTGCTTGCTAGGAACCGCCAGTAGCATCCTGGATTGCTGCCGAATCTCCAGGGGTTTGATGGTGATGCGGCAGAACCATAGTCAAACTAGATTGGATGAGGGAACCCCGTTGTGTCAGCGCAAGTGTGCCGCAGGTTGCAAGCGGAGAAGAGTTGTTAGTGCGTTCTCGACTACTGTGCATGGGCCACGCCCGATCCGCGCCCAGCCCAAATGGCCAAACAGCCACCAGATGCCCAAATGGCTGTACTAGTCTAGCGTTTTGAACCAATTCGTCCTGGACAATGGCGAAGTCTTTGCCAATCCCTCGAAGCATGACTTTGCAAGAATAAGGGGCTGCACTTTGCGCATGGATTAACAAGTGTAGCAACACCCTGACCATGCCCAGACTAGTTGTCCGGAACTCTTGTACTGTGATGCAGTCGGGATTGCTAGTACGAGTCTGAACATAATCTCATGTAGTGTGTTTGCAGCAGCCCAAGTGCAATCCATTGCAAACCGGTGTTTGAGTGACGGAAGCATGTGCAACGCCAAACAAGTGATCGTGTGTCGCAAGGCTTTCTGTATCCAATCCAGCTGGTCAGCCTTCTTTACGCCCCTCGGCCTGATAGCGACTTCGCCTTATTTCTGCTCAAAACTTAGCTTAGTTCTTTAGATTTGACTAATCGGTACTTGCAAATGGCTCATATGTTCCACTGAATGAACATGCTTGTTATAAGTTGTCACCCAGCGTGGTAGATAGATACTGTTCTGTTGGGCCTGAAATTCGCATTTCATCTAGACCTCATGACACATTTATATTCATAGTGTCATAGTCTGCACGTTTATGCCTTTTGAAGTCAGGAGCTGGGCACGCCCCACATCCTTGGCATATACTTTGCCTCAGGATCTCATTGCAGATTCGTTCCTTCGATCACCCGACTACATGTCAATCCTCTCGGCAACTCGGCTGCAGTTTAGTTGGGTGGATCACATGCGTGAGTGGAGGTGGGGTTGTGGAAACTATCCAACAGTTGGTATGAATGGGGAACATGATTAATAACCCCCGCACCCCCCTCAAGATCGACAAGGTTTTGGAAGAGCAGAGTTTGGAGGGTCTCCCTGGCCCCTCGGATTAGTCTGGACCTGTCTAGTCCTCTCCAGTCCTTTTCTTTGTGGACCTCTGCAATAGGACAGTAAAAGGAAATGGCGTTGTTTATTTTCCAGGGCTGGAGAGGGCCAGGAGTAATTAGAGGGGGTTTTGTGTTCGGGGGGGGGGGGGCGAGCTTCTGAAGGAACCTGGTTTTTGGGTGTTCTGTTTTTTGTGGTTCTTTTGGTCCCGGGGTCAGCTTCTTCTGGAGGATATGTATATCTATATGTATTGATACATGCAGATATGTTTTAGACAGGCACAGCTGATGCCCAAAATGCACATATCTCCGGTTCCACCACGTGCCATCCAAACTGTACTGGAGTTCAAGAGGCAATCAGATCCTGCCCGATGGTTCGTTGCTCCACGAGGACAGCAACCTGTGGTGGCAGTGGCTTCTGCTCTCATTTCGGCATGAGATGCTGCTGCCGGTGCTCCTTCAGGCAAGCAATCGAATCATTGGACCAAGAATCATTCGCACGATCAGGCACCGTGCCAGTTCAGGTAGATGTATGCTGAATCCTGGCTTGTGGTGCAGGGTGAGGACATATTTGAACAAGTCCGGCAATCTGCCGTGCGATGTGTGATATGCCTCAATATTTTAGGCCAGGCCAAAGAATAGTAGCCAGGTTGGACGGTGGTTCCCGAATGCATGGCTGAAGCGTTAATGTGTTTGCCCTCATGTAGCAGATGAAAAGCTGTCTTTGTGAAGAATTGCAGCCACATGCGCTAGCTGTCTTCAGGGTAGGCTGGGCCAGCTCCACAAAACCACATGCTCGAATCACTGACTACTCGGAGGCGAACATCAGCAACGAAGCATCCGAGTTTGATACCGAGGAAGAACGCCTCATGTGTTAGCCGCTAGCCATTGCTTCAATCCGCAGCACATGTGTCCCTTGCAACAGCGCGTTGCTGTGCGGAAATTGCATTTGCTTGCGTGCTGCATGTTTTCTGCATGAGTTTGATGTTGTGCCTCGATAGTTTGGCAGCTCCAAAGTGAACACGGACTTTGTCTTTGTTTGCACTTTTCCGTGCTCCTTGGACGGGTGGAATCTGGCAGGTCTTGCGTATCCACATCAGCATCGACAACTTGGGCTCCTTTCTGAGAGGATCTGAAGGAACGCTTATAGGCGAGACTGGGGTTGTTGTCGCACAGCCAGAAGAAATGGTGACAACTGATTAGTAAACCCCCCCTCCCCCCCCCCCTTCAAGGTCGACAAGGTTTGGACAAGTCCCAAAAATTGAGATTTTTGGGAGGACCCCCCTGATTACTCTGAAGCCCCTTCGGTCCTCGTCCTCTTACTTCTGGTCCCTTCGGGGCAGTAGGACTTTAAAAGGCAACAGCACATTTTTTTGGTTTTGAGCCCAAAAGGGCCCTGATTCATCGCGGGGGGGTTCCTGTTGATGAGGGGGCCTGACATTACAAAGGGAATCACGGGAGCAGAATGCATTCATGAACACATGTAGTATACCTGTATATATATATATATATACACAGCTGGATCTGAACCCGTATGTGTGCACAATGAATGTGGATTGTGTATATGTATATATATATATATATGTATGTATATATATATATATATGTATATGTATATATATATATACACATCATATCCCGCCTATGTTGCAGTTAGTGAAGTAGACTCTTGCCCAGCTGAAAAGGCAATGGCATCCTGAGTCGGTGTGCTAGTTATGGCCTTCGAGGGTTGTAGGCCGTGCACAGACCTACCGTGCTTGAGTCGTTTGTGTGGTAAGCCGCTCAGATGCAGACAAGCGGCACCGCCCGTGCTGCACCGAGCTGATGCTCAGCACCACTTCTCTTTGCATTTGTAAGGCGAGAGTGGCAAACCGCATGTAGCGTTCAGCTTGCGCTCGAACCAGCGGCCCTATTTGCAAAACAAACTCACTGGGCTGGGCTTCATTCTGATGTGTTTTGTCGACCGCTGCAGGCAAAAGAATGCTGTGCCGACCTCAGAGGTTAACACGGTGGGGAGATTGCTGCAAAGCCTGACTTGGAAATCAGTAGAGTGAAACGGGCTGAGCGAGCATCCATTGTGACCAGCTTGCACATGTCAGAGCAAAGCCAATGCCTTGCTCCACCCTTATACGGGAGGGAGCTCCAGCCAAGGGCGTTTGCCTGCGCAGTGGCTTGGATGCAGTTGACAGCGGTCAAATGTGATTAGACTGACATCGTTGGAGTAGAAAGCAATTGGTTGCTGAAATGGACAGTTCAGCAAGCCCGCCAATGGAAGAGGACTGGCCGCATCAACCCACTGTTGTTTCATTCTCGCATATTCTCGAAATTGGATGTCAGGGTGCCAAGTATGTGTTTCTTCATTCACATACAGTATGTTTGCTACAGTTGACATTTGCTTAGACAGAGCGGATAGAGGACTCATTGCTTTGGAGATTCTTCAGGGAGACCCAGCGTGGTGCCAACATGCAAGTCTTGCAAACTCAGTAGCCACCCAGGTAGCCTTGCTGCCAAAGCTCATGATCTTTTTACCTGCATTGCTGGTGACGTTTCTCATCGGCCTTTTTCCCACGTGGCCTGGCGAGGAAGGGCCAAGGGAATTCGCTTGGAAGCGCTTGCATCGGACAGATCTGCAATGAAGTGACTGCGACTTTGCAATTATGTTTGCTCCTGCTTGACCGACTAGAGGGGCTATGTTTGATTGGGGCATTCAGCGTCTCGTGCCTCAGCCATTTCTGATTTGAGTTGCATCGTCCCCTTTCATATATATATATATATAGCTTGTGTGTGTGTGTGCGCCAAGTCCATGATCTACCCAGGGACCAACCTATTTGCTTGGGGATCTTGGGGCACAAATGGCATGTGCAACCTACCCTGTGCGACGAAGCTGCGGGTACAGATGGGGCGCCAGTTCCTGTACCTGCTTGTGACGCAGAGTCCTTTTGGCCCCCCCTCAAACTGCTGGTACTTCCTGGTTTTCCCTGGTTCGAGTAACTAGAGTGAAGCCAGGTGCTTCAAGTTCGAATCACTCGCTCGATGCTCGAGCCGTCGCGCTGGACATGTCTCCCACTCGCTTCGATTGGTTTACTATTCCTTGGGAGTCTAAGAGATCGTGAACCGTACAAAGATTGGGCGGAACTTTTGCAAGCGCCAAACGCTGGCAAGGCAATTGGAGCAATCACATCGCAGCGTGAAAGGCAACTGTTATTGCTCTTGGCAACACGTGATCAGTTGAAAGATGATCACATGGGGGATGTCTTTAGTTCATGTGTATTGGACATGTGCCAGCGCAGCTCAGGTGGCTTGCTGCCCAATTTCTGGAGCGCACCACGGGCAAATCCTACTGGTATGGCAAGGACTGGCTAAGACATTGAATTGGGCACAGCAAACAGGAGGTCAAGCTTGTAAAAGCCAGCCCCAAAATGACAGTGATCAAAGTGAGCTGTCGTTGATTGAGCCGTCCTTACAAGGGCATGGATGACAGCTGCGCATGCTACATGTCAGTACTTCTTGAACTTTTCTAGGAGAGCTGATTGATTAGATTTCATTTAAGTTAAGTTCTGTGTCTTTTCCCCCGGAGCTTCCAAAGGTTGCCAGTTCAGCGATCGTTGGGCATGGTCACAATTTGGGTTTTGGACATCTGAGAGGCACTGAGGGGGCAAAATAGTGGGCAAAGACAGGGTCCACCTGTTTGATGGTTTCCACAACGCCGACAACAAAAAACGAGACATGAGATCGAATAGATGTATTGTGGCAAGGTTAAAATACATGCCCCATGTGCCAAGCGAGCATCCAGACTTTTTGCCCAAGAGGTTGGCTGTCTTCATTGGAGCATGCACAATGCAAAGCGAATGCAAAGCGACTCCAGGATGGACCGCACCTGGTAGTGCTGTACTGCTTCGTGCTACCCTCCGCCTCTGTTGTGCTGCTCGGCTGCAAAGGTCAGTTTGCAGTGGCTTTCTGTCTGGTGCATTGTGGGGCTTCAAAGAAACAAGATATGATGTGCCAGAGGAATGAAGCGGGGTGTGGAATGAACAAGGTTTGGAATAGAGGTGACGCTAGTGGAGAGTCCTCTCAGCCTGCGGTCCCGTGATGCTAGAGGTGAAATTCAGGAAGAATGCCGCTGATATTTGTTGTTTGACACGCCGAAGAGTTTGTGACAGCAAAGTCCATCTTTTGTTCTAGCCTTTTGACACAGCAAGGATTCGCTTCTCAGATTGCACATGTTTGATATTGGTTTGCATTTACACACCTGTGTTGACAGCTGGAGACAGTTCCAAGAGTTCGACATCCGCCCACAGCCAAGGAACGCCCTGTTTTACAGCTTCTCTGGCGCGTCAGGATCCAAGTGCCGAGAATGGCAAGCATGATTGCTGTTGATGAGCTTTCGAACGGGGAGTCAGCGTTTGCTTCTGACTTGGCATGGGAATCACACTCAGATTGCCGCAATCGGAAAGCTACGTTGGTGCCAATTGAATTGTAAAATCACAGATACCTGTTCAACATCCACTGTGTTTGACTTGCATAGGAAGACATTGAGGAATGTGTTGCATTGCCGATTTATCATCAAATGTTTGCCAGTCTTTCTTGCCTTCTGAGTGTTCGTTCTGTTGTGGAAATCTGCCGCTGAGATGACGCATACTGTCAGTATGAAACAGTTGCATGCTTTGTGCACTCAATTAATCCCCCATTTGTTTCCGGTTCAAGCCCATCCCTGCCTGCCCGGTTGCAATACTGGTTCTGGTATTGCAAGTGGTGTCAGATATTCGGAAGGCCCAGAGGATCATGAATGCAAACGCGACACCCTCCGTTCAGTGCGTCAAGAGTCAATTTACGCATCTCGCCGTTTTCGCACCACACGTGCTGAGGACGTACCTTTGCACCCATGCAAAAGCAAATCTCCTCCCTTTGCGAGAAGGGCACTGGACGATGGACGCGCCTTTGATATGCTTCTTGGCCTCCATGCGCCTTGGCAGCATCATGATGGGCTTGCTTCAGTGCATGTGTGTTTCGGAGCTTGACAAAGATGCATTGAAAGGCAGCGTTGGAGCGAAATGGCCTTTGACAGGGATCAGCTCGCAGAAAATGTTTGAGAAGTGTTCGGTCCAGTGTTGTTCAAGTGTGAGAGGGAGCATGCTTGGACATCGTACGCAAGCACAAGGAGCCGGAGTCTTTTGGCAAGTCCCATGTCAAGAGTCAAACATGGGTGTGTGTGTGTGTGTGTGTGTGTGTGTGTGTGTCTGTGCGCGTGCGCCTGCTATGTATGTGCGGTACGGTGCGGTCTTGTCTTGGTCTCGGCTGATCTGGTCTAGTGTGGTGTGTTTTTGTGTGTGTGTGTGTGTTTGTTTGTGTGTTTGTTTTGTGTGTTTTCTTCCTTGCTTGCTCGCTTTCTTGCTTGTTTGTTTGTGTGTTTGTTTGTTCGTTTGTGTGCTTGCTTGCTCGCTTGCTGTCTTGCTAGCTTGTTTGTTTGTTTGTTTGTTTGTTTGTTTGTTTTTTTGTCTGTGTGTGTGTTTGTGTATGTGTGTGCTTGTGTGTGTGTATGTGTCTGTGTGTGTATGTGTGTGTGTATGTTTGTATGTGTGTGTGTGTGTGTTTGTTTGTTCGTTGGTTGGTTGGTTGGTTGGTGTGTTTGTTTGTGTTTGTGTTTGTGCTTGTGCGTGTGTGCTTCTATGTGTGTTTGTGTGTGTGTGTGTGTTTGTATGTATGTATGTGTGTGCTTTGGCTTGCTTGCTTGTTTGTTGTGTCGTTTGTTTGTTTGTGTGTTTATTTGTTTGTTTGTGTTTTTGTTTTTGTTGTTGTATGTACGCGTGTGTTCATGTTTGTATGTGTGTGTATCTTTGTATGTGTGTGTGTGTGTGTGTGTGTGTGTGTGTGTGTGTGTGTGTGTGTGTGTGTGTGTGTGTGTGTGTGTGTGTGTGTGTGTGTGTGTGTGTGTGTGTGTGTGTGTGTGTGTGTGTGTGTTTTTCTGTGTGTGTGTGTCTGGGTGTAAGAGAGTGTCAGTTTGTGTGTGTGTGTTTTGTCTGTGTGTGTGTGTGCACGTCTTGTTTGGGTTTTGTTGTTTGTTGTCTTGTTCTGGTTTTCTGTTAGTGATTTGTATGACGTGTATGCATGTTTGTGTCTCTATGTCTGCGTGTCTTCCTGTCTCCGTGGTTCTTGCACAACTTAGACGCGACAAGCAACCAGAGGTGGCACCCAGGTCGGAATGACCATCAAAAAAACTTGTTTGGCAATCAACAAACAACTTTCAGCCATCAACAACATTTTTTTTTAGCAATCAAGAAAAACTTCCCACAATCTCACTCTGCTGCTTGTATATTATGTTCTTTTGGTTGGCATTCTATTTTCTGGTTCCTTGAACACCCCTGGTCCCGTGGTCCTTTGGTCCCTTGGTCCTTTGGTCCCTTGGTCCTTTGGTCCCTTGGTCCTTTGGTCACCTGCTGCTCTGGTCCCTTGCTGCCTGGTCTTGGTCTCCTGGTCCCTTGGTCCCTTGGTCCTGGAGCCCTTGATCTCCCTCGCTCCTTTGGTTATCTTGGTCTGCTGATCTTTGGCCTCTGCTCCGTTGGTCTTGGTCCCTTCATCCTTGCATCTCCTGGTCCTCTGGTCCCTTGGTCCCTTGGTCCTTTGGTCTCTTGATCCTTTGGTCTGTTGAGTTCCTCTCTGTTTGGCTTTTGCAGCTTTTTGTTGGGTTTATGCAGCTTTTGCGGCTTTGGCTTTTCGCATCCTCTGCATTACCAGTTTCTCTCAGGTGGCTTTTTGGCTTTGTGGCTTTTGGCGGCTTTCTGGCTTTGGCTTTTTGCATCCTCTGCTTTCCCAGTGGTTTTTGGCCGTGGCTTCCTGCATCCTCAGCATCGCCAGTTCCTTTTGCCCCCCTTTCAATTGAAATGCCACCCCTACTCGAATCATCACTTTTTCGATCATCATGGGGGGCCAACCCCCCGCTTTTTCGATCGTCCCCCGCCACATTAAGATTTTTTGCCCCTACTTGAATCATCGGCAGCCCCCCAAACCCCCCAAATACTTTTAGATGTTTGGCCACAATTTGAATGATCACTTTTTCGATCATCATGGGGGGGCCTGCCGCCCCCCCCCCTCCCCCAACCCCCCCTCTACTTTTTTTTTTTTTTTTAATTTCTTGCCCCGAATTGAATCATCAGCTTTTCGATCATCATGGGGGGGGCTGCCGCCCCCCCCAACCCCCCCGCTACTTTGTAGATTGTTTGCCCCTCGCTTGTTTTTAGATGTCTTGCCCCTAATTGAATCATCGCCTGTTTCGATCGTCATGAGGAAACCCCGGCCTATACGTCTTTGTCGTGTAAGCGCCCAGACCATCGCAAAAGAGTAACCCCGCAGCTACAGCACGTGTGATGAGACCGTGTCCGTGCGCGTGCACTGCGTGTTCCTTTTGATACACACGTTTCTCACTAAATGCAGCCCTGAGTGCATTAAGTTTTTCTTGATGGCTAAACAAGTTTTTTTTTGCTAAAACACGTTTTTGTTTATTGTTAAAAAAGTTGTTTTTTGATATCCTTCCCACCCAGGTCGGGGGAAGTTGTTGTTTTGTTTGACTCAGTGAGATGGGTTTTCCCAGCTGCTGGAGTAGCAAACTTTCCGCGCGGCAAATGAATTGCACTGTTGACTGATTTTCAATAAGTGATATCTTGGTACTCGGTGGTCAGAAGATACTTCTCCGCAAATGTTTAGCTGGCACGCAAAAAGGGAGCTCCAACGAATGTTCCTCTAAACTCGAAGACTTTTTTTGGTTCTTCTTGATTTGCAGGAGAGTATGTGGAAGCAGGATTTGACACTTTCCACATGCACACTTGGCACCTACACATTTCCCAACTGACTTGCCTCCAAGTTCCGGCAGGTTCTTTTGGGCTTTGGCTCTCGTTGCCGGAGCCCCAGCTATGAATCGCTTCCCTGGCTAAACCTTTGCAGCAACGCAAATTGGCAAGGCAGTTGTCAATATGTTGAATGTTGACCCCTGTGAATTTTCCAAAGATAGGTTGCCAGCATCGCGTGTTGTTGTTTGTTAGTTGTAGTTGTGACTTGTGAGTGGCTACTTAGCTGATGAGCTGCGTTGCTGATTGACTGATCGGCACAGCGCAGGCGAACGCATGTGTGTAGAGAGTTTCTTGTCAAAGCGGAAGGAGGCAGAATCCCAAACCTAACTGGTCCTGTCTCGCTTTCGAGAACCTTGAACCCGGGGCTCCTGACCAAGAGGTTGAATCTTGTCCATAGGCGTCATCGAGAGAGGGAGACCCAAGCAAGTAAAAGAGGATGAGTTGTTCTGTGCGGCACTATGGGAGTTGTCAATCAGCCCGCAGCTCTTAGCATGATGTTCTCCGGATTTTGTGCACAGCTCGCAGACTTGCAGGTTCCTTTGAAGCTCTTCCTCACGTTTTTCCCGGAAACCAGTGGCAGGCACGACGCTTTGGCTACGCGGACTTGAGAAAGATGACCCAAGTGAGGAGTCATGTCGCAAATCGATCCAAATTGTTGGAGC